TGTGTAATGGTTCAGCAGGAAATAAAGACCTGCTTTCACAGGGGTCTAGTAGCAGAAACCCGACAGGTCATATGCATACCACACTATTGTCTCAAACTGGTGTGGAAGAAATATCACCTTTTGAGTTGTCAGAATCTTTTCCGGTGGAAATTGATCCTAATGGTGCTGGTTCTGTGAAGTCAATTAATGAGACCACTGAACATCCTGAATCTATAGCTTTACCTGGTGATAAATCTGTTGCCATCCCTGCCAACTCCCAGAATCCATCGAATGAGAAATTTGACAAATTTGATGATGATGATGAACTGCTTTCTGCAAAAAAAGTTAAAAATGCTGCTGAACATTATGAAGCTCCTGATCCGAACATCAATGCCAATACTCGTGTGGGAAGGGGTATGTACAAAATCATTTTATGTGCCATTTTTTCTTATCACTTTATTTAGTTTACGAATCCCATATTAGTAAAAATAAATAGCCAGTTTTTCATTCAGAACTGGTTTTATCCCCTCATGTGGTATCCCAATAAATAAACACGTGAAAGAATGAACCTAACAAAATTAATATGTTACTATAAAATTATCAGAGTTTAAATTATGTATAAAAATTTAATTTGAAAATGGACTAAGGTTTCAGGTGGCATGCAGCTCAGTTTGCATTTGTGGTTTTTTTGAGGGATAGTCGTGACTGTAATTTAAAAAAAAAAAAAAAAAAAAAAAAAAACCAGCAGGTTTCTTTACAGGAGCTTAAACAGCAAATAATCTTTTACTTCTTCATGTACCTTATAATTTCTCTGTCCATTAGACGTCATAATATCTTCTGTGATTGAAAGTGGTATGAATAAAAGGAATTGACATGCCCTTTTTCGTTTGTGGCCTTTTACACTTTATGATAGGTAAAAATGCTTATGCCTTGTCAGTATTGAGGCGGGTAGAGATGAAAATTGATGGTCGAGATATCTCTGAAAGCAGGTAGGTTGGGGTGTAGCTGTTTTTGGCAATTACAAAATCTTTTGCTTCTTTTTTATTTTATTTTATTTTATTTTTTTTATTAATGCTGGGCCTTCTTCGGATTTCAGAGAAATTGGTATTGCAGAGCAAGTAGACCATCTACTAAAGCAAGCTACTAGTGTTGATAATCTATGCAACATGTACGAAGGTTGGACACCATGGATTTGAGGTTTCAAATGGTTCCTCAGACTTGAGCATCTTAAGTTCCATTCCCAATATTATGCAAGAATTGGTTTCGAGCATTGTTGGGTTGACTATGGTGAGAAATAGGTCCTTTGGCCTGATATTATTTCCTGGTGATGAAGGAAGCCGCCAGAAGAATGTTTGTGCATGTCCTATTAGTCTGGCCATATCTTGAAGTCTATCATTGATCACAATCACCGATCTATCCAGGGCCAAGCTATTCAGCTTCTGCCATCCCTTTAATTTCAGCATTTGTCCCGGCAGAGTTACTATTTTTCACCTTCCGTGTGGGCTTGCATTCGTCATTCCATGATATCCGACAGTGAAGTCCTAGGCTCACAGCTGGTCTCGTGGGAGAGATGAAAAAGGATTATCATGCCTTCCCTCCTGGTTTAAACAGTGCAGTGTTTTTTTTAAGACCTGCTACTTGCATTGTCATATCGATTGAAGAGTATGTTTTGGATCCTCAGTTCTTGAAAAAGAAAGAATGTCGTATGCTAACAACCAGGCAGTGGAATATCTAATGTTGTGTCTGGCTAGAGCATCATACTTCTGCAAAACTGAAGTCCAGCATGAATTGTACATATCCATGTATCATTTTTCTGTTGATAGGTCAAACAATTATTGCTGGCTTATTCATCATGTTACTTGTAATTGGACGTATTGAATCCAGCTAATTGATTCTTTAATCCATTTACCGTCTTACTGCTTTTTGATTCGTTTCCTTTCATTTTAGATTGGAAATACCTTACGAAACTTTGTACACGGATCCTAAAGTTGTCCACATATGCGACACTTGTAACAGTTAGACCTAATTGTACCCTTTATTTTCCTCTTCTCTTTAAGCGATATACATCTTTCATTTCTTTTCCACTTCACAGATTTCATGCAAAAATTGGGCATCAATTATATCCTGGTCAGTGGTCAATTACAAAATTACTAATACAAGGCAAGTTCTCCTCGCTGCCATTATTAGTAAATCTTTATCTTGGATATGAAAATAAAATTATAATTAGATATCAACTTGCCGGATAAATAAGTAAATAATTATTTAAATTAGTGATATTTAAAGAATATATTAAAAAAATATTTTATTAATTGATTTATTAATTTTAAATGTGATTTTTTTTTAAATTGTAATGTAATCTTAATAAACTTTATGATCTTCATATTTAATCTCTCTATCATGATAATTTTTTTTAAAGAGATAATACATATTGTTTTTGACAAAATCTTACTTGAACACATTAGTAGACTTATTGTTGCTTCTATTTTATTTTTCTTCTAAAGTGTTTTTTTGGTAAAATATATATTATTTTTTATTTGATTAAGTGTAAGAAAAACCTAAATCAAGATGCTTGTGGCCTCGACTATGTAGAGTGGCAGCTTGGACTCATCAGACACAAGTAACATAGAATGTTTGTGACCTTGATCATGTTGGGCATGGACTTGATCTCTTTGAGCGTGAAGATCCGAAATACTTGCAACATTATTGACGCCAAGCATGGGTGTAGTCACGTCGAGCTCTAGATGTCCTCCATATGCATCTCACCAAGT